TTTACAAAACTTTCCACACCCAGAGATGCGGTTTTCAAGACAAGTTATGTCATATCCCACAAAATTGCCAGAAAGTAAGCCATTTTCTGACGAAGAGTTTATTAATGAATGTTTGTTGGACTCTGCAGCACTAATATGCTCAGAGAAAAAGGGCGCATATGAGAACGTGCCCCTCTCCCGACGCACTGTAATGCTGAGGGTTGAGGACATCGCAGGAAATCTTTGGATCCACCTACATATGTGAACAGACATTCTCAGTGATGAAGTTCAACAAATCCAGATACAAATCCTCTATCAGTGATCATTACCTCTCAGCTATCCTTTGCATATCTATCTCAGATATTCAGCCAAATTTCAATGCACTTGTTCAAGCCCAAGCCAGACTGGATTTCTCTCACTGAACAAGTAAAATGAACTGAAAATGCATATCTTTAACATACTGCAAAACACATTTTCAGTGTTATATGAAGTAGAAAATAAAATGGAACTGTTTGTTTTTGTTTTTACTGTTTATTACTTCTATAGGAGTATTTTCCTGTTTGACCTACACCACAATTTCATATATTTATATAAATATTTACAGAATATTCTTATTCTTCTGATTACCAGTAGCAGCTAATCAACACATATAATTTACTGCTTTTTACAATGGGAGATAATGAATATTGAGCAGAATAAAGTTCAAGTTAATGTTGGTTCGGCCCTCCAACACAGTTCAGGTTTCTAATGTGGCCCCTTGTAAAAATTAATTGCCCACCCTTAATCTAATGTGTTTTTATGTTTACCTGTACTGTTCAATTTTCAAAGTGTTTTTAAAAGAGTCCTCTTTTTCCTTATACTTTTAAGAGTGTCATGCTTTGAATGAATCAAAATGTGAATGATTACATTTCTGTTTTTTGGAATGGTAGGCTAAATGGGAAATAAATGTGGTAGTATAGTAGAAGTTTGGGGATGTTGTTGGTCCTGAAATAATGTGTCATCCCACTCTGTCAGCCACTTTGAATTTATGTAGAAACAACAAATCTGCTGGAGTCAGGCCTGTATCACTGTCTTCCTCCACTTAAGAGAGATGGCTCCTCACCCTCAAGCTACAGACCAGATACATGGAGGGATGGACAGATGGATGGATGGATGTCAGAGAGTGGAGTACAGATCAGCAATGAGAGCTCCTTCCCTGCTCAGTTCCCAGCAGACCACCACTCTCCACCCACCCCCCGACCTTAAAGGACCTTCTTCTGGCCTGCCATGCTGTTGACATGCCAAGCTAGGCACATCCCAGGGACAAGCTACTTGCTGCTGTCTTTAAAACATTCTGATGAGGTTTTGGTAGTGAAAAGCTTGGGTTTGACTTTATAAAAGAATCTAAATGAGGCTCGGGTGAATACCATGGCTGTTCCATTTTAATCTGTGTGCTCGGCTGCTTCCACTGTGACTCATTTCTATGCATCACAACATGGATTCCTCTGTGCCCTTTGTGACACCTTCAGGGCTTTCAGGTTATGTTTATGAGGCAAATAGATGTTGATGACAGTAACATAAATTTGTTTTTAAACATAATTCAACAATTCCGAATTCCAGTGTGGTCTGTTCCATCCTCCATCCTTTGAACTGCTTCTCATTTAAAGCAGGAACACAGCCAAAGAGTGAAGAGAAGCCATTACTCATTAACCCCTCAGTACTTTACAATGAATCCTGGAGGCTCATTGTGCCAAAGGGCCAGTGCTTCCCTAACGAGGGCCAGTGGTGATGGTGGTGGTGGGGTGGGGGTGAGAGTGGTGCTGTGCAAAGCACTGTTTTTCTGTTTTCCTTCTTATAATGTCCAAATGGAGATTATAAAACATATTGAAATAACAATTAAACAAAATTGCAATGCACAATTCTTTTCATATTTCAACTTTTGCTGGGACATAAATGTGACCTCTGGAAAAATATTCACATCAACAGTCACAGTTTCACTGTCATTTTTCCCATCCTGCTACTAGCATAAACATAGGTTGGGATTGCACGGGATCTTCTGCTCAGTATTTTACCTGACTGACCTGATGATCATGAAAACATTCTCAGAACGTTAAACTCACAATATTCTGATATATACATCCACAAAACGTGCAGGGAAACTCAAACCTTCACCCTTTTGCATTGTCATCTATGGTCATCAATGGCCAAACACTACTTTTTATCCAAATATTGCAAAGTAGCTACAGAACTAATGACAAACAAAATGACTCTTATGTAGAAGTTTTAAAAGATTCAAGGGCTCAACATTGAACCCAATAGTTGTAGGGAGCAAACCTAATTTTGCTTAATTTTTTTTATTAGTCTTTGTTATACAACTATGTGCACAGACATTGATTCCTATTTCCAAGATGGATGTATAGACTTAAATCCTTTTGCTATTCTCATATCTGTTCTTTATCTCTTTTTACATGAATAGCAAGAAAGAGTTTTTATTTTGTTGATAAATCATGTGGTTGATATTTTTCCCATATTTTGTGACATGTTATTGATTTTACATCCAGACTGACCTGCAGGCTAGCAGTTTAAGGAATTACTGATATATTCGCGCCGATACGATCTGTACAAGGCTTTAGTGTTGTTAAATAAAATGCTTCTATCTCTATTCAAATGGCCCATGGCTCAGGCTGTCGGTAACGTTATCAGATGTTGGGAACGTTGGCTATTATAGTGACACAATCTGCCACCCCTCCATCCACTTCTAAAGCTGCTAGAGCGGGACACTTAAATTGGAATTTCATGTGGGCTAAACTGAGGGGAAACTGATGTAAGTTAACATTTGGTAGACTTAATTGGTCCTTTTCTCTTCGTCCTCCTCGATCGGGCACTTACGGGCCGCTGCTGAAGCTTCCCCGCTAATCTCCCATTTACAATCAATTCAAGCGGCCAGACAAAAAGTCCGCCTCTCTCCTTTCTTATCTTCCTGTCTCAAACGAGCTCCTTTGTGGCACGTAAATTGCTTGAATCCCCCGTGATCCCCCGGTGGCAGAGGGGAGCCACAGAAAGATGTCCTCATGTAGTTGACAGTTGATTAATGCGCGCTCCCGCTCTCACGCTCCCTCTCGTCCCCCACCTATAATCTACTCCTCGTAGGCGCGCCTTAATTAAAGCTCCCATTTGTCAATTAAAGTGTTTGTGGATGTTGAGGCGGTTGCTCAGATGTTGGAGAGATGGAGGAAAAAAGTGCAGAGAAAAGGGCAACCTTCTTGCCTTTAGGTTGTTTACTGCTCGACCTTGTTGTTCAAGTCCCGCAGCCTGTAGTCTTGTGTGCGCACACACGCACAGCTGCTCCGTGCTCACTGTTTCTCACCACACACATTGCTTTGGATAAAAGTGAACTCCTCGCCTTACACTGGTGTGGATCATATCACTCCCTTCCTGCAGTGTGCACAGTGCTGCAAATGCATTAGGCAGTGTTGTCGAACAAACGTTGAGTGACGCAGATTTATGGATGATTTGCTCCAGGGAATGAATAAAAAAGAACGGGCTTGTACCGCTACCGCTGAGGACACCGAGGTCATGTCAACTATTTTTCTGTGAATTTGGAGCTTTAACCGACCAGAGGGGGAGTGCTCGTTCGTTCTACAGTTACATGTAGTTTTTACTTGTGGATTTTCTTTTTATTCAGACACTTTGGGGGCCACTATTGTTAGGCTTTCCCACCGAGTCCACACATTAGATTTGTATTTCTTTATCACAATTACTTATACTAGGAATAGTGGAGACAGACAATTGGGAAAAGAGATTTATTTTTAGGCTGTGTTTTGGCATTTTGCATTTCGCTTTTTTGGCGTTCATAGTGAAATTGAACAGATAGACAAGATACATTTTAGTTTAACAGTGAAATAAATATAGAAAATATGATGCAAATACAATTCAGACTTTTGAGGGAAGTGGTCATAACACTTGACTCCTGATCCAACGGACGACGTTATTTTGACAGAATAAGTATTTTAAAGTATGCAACAAAGTGAAGAAGGAGAAATACAACTGTATAAACCTTGTACAGTATCTCCCATTGGTTGAATTTAGATGCAGCTGTGCCCGTTTGACTTTTCAAAGGCTTTTATTATTCCAGGAGGCTGTAGAAGTTTATTAATCATAGAAGAACCAGTCCTTTCCTATGTTTTATTAAAGCTGAGAGTTTGGTAGATTTTGCTCCAAGACTTCGGTGCCTGTGTCTGATGCAGACTGATGAAATAGGTGAGCAAGGCATTCATGTGGCAATATTAGCCCTGCCAGGCTTCTGCAGGCCTGGCCGGCCCGGCTGAGTGCTAATTGGCTGTTAATAGAAAGAGCGCCATTTGGGAGCACGGATCTGGCTCCCGACAGAATGTGTGCAGGAATAATATTGTTCCAGGAGCCGTGCGGAGAATAACTTGTGATCTATTAACGCAGAGGCCCAGATGAGGAGCTGCGGCCTGATTCCCCCTCCGCGCCCCCGCCGTAATCAGGCCTCCCGAGGCCGTTTAGCTGGTTAATGTAATTCGCTTTCAAGGGCCCGTGTTATCTCTGATCATTACGCCGGAGTCAAGTGTAAATGCTGCATTATTAAGAAAGTGTCTGTCAATAAATGTTGAAGCAAAGTAGCCGCAGAGCATACAATGGAGCCAGACCCTTCAAAATAAAACATCCACAAAGTTTAGCACAGTAATATGATTCTACACGTCTTAACAGTGTAGGCCAATCAGCTTACCTGATACTGTCATTCATCTGACAAAGATATCTTTTAAATATGTATTTAAACAAAAGTGACATTTTGAAGCTTAAAGCGCAAATGTGATTCAAAACACAGCAACAAACCTAATAAATGAATGAATTAGGACAGAAACACAATATAGGACTACGGAAACAACATAAAACAATTCACAAAAATGTTGCTGTATTTTCTGTTTTGTGGATTTCAACTGTATTTTTTATTTCCTGACGTGTTTATCTTCTCCATTTTTGTGTTTTTATGTTTTCTAAAATGTTGTCATATGTTGCACCAGCCAGCTAAAACCCACACCTAACAAAATGTTTCTAAACTTAGTCAGTACAACTTTCATCATATTATTCAGGTTTATTTTCAAATGCCTTGAAAAATGGAAACAACATGGATCAAATATTCAGGTTTCATTATAAGTTACAACTCATTTATTCACCTTAACAATTTTCTTCTGTGGAATTCACAGCATGGCAATGAGCTCCACAGACAATTCACATTTAAATAACATTTTATTATTATTATTATTATTATTTCCATTACTTATTATTTACAGTTCCATCATGGAGACAGATGATTTTTTCCAATGTCTGATGCTTGTCAGTGACAATGCAGGAAGAAATTCAAGCTGTACAGAAAAGAAAACCCTGTAATATTCCTATAATATGGGACCCAGTGCTAAGTGTTGATCGGTTGTACTTTCCGCTCTCTTCATTCTCTACAGTGTCACTGCTGGAACACTTGGACAGGATCCTAAAGTTTATTGTGTTACCGCAAAGGGATAATGTCCAGTTTTATTCGAGTATCCCACCTTCTCTTGGGACTTTCATATACAGTTCACACAATACATAAGCCAGTTTTTGAGTCTTCACAGTCCAGGGTTGAGTGTTAAAAAGTGTTGTGGGGAATTACCATTGCCGCTCAACTCTGCAGCTCTCTGGAGGCCTCTGTGGCCGCTGAGAAGCTGCTGTCATGCAGCTTCCTGATGTGTTTTTTCAGGTCAAAGTTGCGACAGAAGCCCTTGCCGCAGGTGGCACAGGTGAAGGGCTTCTTGTCATTGTGCGTGTGCATGTGGAAAGTCAGGTTGTAGATCTGGTGGAAGGCCTTGTTGCAGATGGAGCACTTGTACTGCTTCTCCCCACTGTGCGTCAGCTTGTGGTTCTTATAATTTCCTGCAACATAAAAAAGAAATAATGAACATATGCATAAGAGAACTGCATGATTAAACAGAAACATAAGAACTGTGAATGCGAACGTAATTGTAAATTATAGCCTGTTGTCATTATTAATCATATACTTTTGGATTGTTTAATTTATATAATGTGTAAAAAAAAACACGAGTCATCATGAGTTCCCCAAACCTAAAGTGACATCTCCACAATTATTCTGACCAAGTAACCCAAAAAAGATTCAAGGGTCAAAAATGCAAAAAAAAAAAAAAAAAAAAAAAAAAAAATTCCTCAGGCTGGAAAAGTTACAACTAGCTGTCACCTTCACATGATGACTGAACAGAAGTTTATTTTAACATAAAGCATAAAATCAAAACTGCATAACATGTCATTCCGTAAAGGAATAAAATTATGCCCAGCAGCGTTCGAACCCCATCATGGGCTTAAAGAAGGACAAAAATAGATCACATCATTACTAAGAAATGATAAAATTAGTATGCATTATAAGAATCTACTCTTATTGTTCCTGAAATCATTGAAAGCATCTAAACTATTTAAGATGAATTCCACCTGCAGGCATTGCAGCTTTATGACTTTGTGACCAGAAGATTTCAAAATAAAGTTTCTGATACCATTTCTTCCAAGAAAAGTTGAAAAACAAACTGGGAAAATCCCAAATCTGAATGAAATGATTTCCCCCATTTTAACGGAGAGTTTTAAAAACATGGAGAGGAAAGTGTCATACTGTGTTGTTTATTGCGAATCCTGAACTATTTTCTTTCCCACTCCAAGATCCAAGAACTCCAAGAACAGCTCCTTGTAAAGTTGGAGCGTCCCCTGATCCTCTGCACCGTCCAGCCTTCATTAATCAAGATTTTGTGTGCCGAAGTCAAGAGGTTGTCAAACTTTGTCAAAATCAAGGCCAGCAGCAGCTCAACAGAAAAGCCCCGATTCTTAACTTTGCCGGGGTCCAGCATCTGACCCAGAGCAAATGCTGTCGTCTCCGTGTAATGTGACATGTCCTATTTACACTGATCACTTCGTGCTCACAGTGGGCCTGCAATTATTTCTCTTTTCATTACTCTTACAGATAACTAGGAGCAGCAGCGCATGGTGATGTGTTTACCCCTGCTAATATTTATTTCAGCAGCTGACAAATCTCAAAATCCGAAAATTCTATAAGTGCTATAAGTGGTAAAAGTAATCCTGCTCCCTGATGGCAAATGAAATGCAAGTTAAAGATATCTCATAATAACCTTTTCCCTTTACGCCTCGAATCCAGCTATACAGGAAAAAAGACAGTAGGCTACAGGAAAATACAGGAAGACGATCGACAATAAGAAAACTCGCACTTTATTGCTAAAACACCTTCATTGGCAGGGTAATAAAAATAGCGACCCCC